AGAAAGCCACTGGGGGCACTGAGCAAATATAGAAACGCCGTTTTAAGAGATCATGGGCAACTCAGTGGATCATGGATCCCAGAGAGACCAAGGAAGAGTTAATGCAAAAGTCAGACAGTGGTGGTGTGAGTCAGGGTGTTAGCACAGACATGGCAAGAAGGGGGCTGATTCAGCATTTTTGCTCACTGACTGGACAACATTTGCTGATGGCTTTGGTGTGAAAAGAAGGGTAATCCAAAGTGAATCCTCAGCTTTTGGTTTGGGCAGTTTGGAGGACAGTAGTGCTCTGAGCTGAGCTCTGAGGACTGAGTGGGCTCAGGGGAGAAGGCAATTTGGAATGAGTCATGTCAAAGGCCAGAAGTCATGGTCCTAGTGGGCAAGCTGCTGTCTGGCCAGGAGTCGCCCTTACAGATGTTCCTTAAAGCAAGAGGCAAGTGGGCTGGCTGGAGTGGGCGCCGACTGGGCAGCGGAGGTGGGATTAGTCAGGTCAGAGAAATGGAACCTGCTTTTAAAAGTACAGGCTCTTAATTGGCAGTTTCTCCATGTACCACTTCATTCCTTTGGACACGAGCCGCATTGTTTATGAATACACTCTCAGATTCCTCTAGTAAATGCCACACTCCACACTTCTCCTTCTCTAAGCCGCTGCCAAAAGCTTTCCGACTTCTCTTTCTGTGTGTTTTAGGGGCTGGCAGGAATTCACTGTTAACTGGGCCTGGAAGGAAGGCTAAGTCTGCCAATAAATCTCTCTGGGCCTGTAAATATTTGTATAAGGTCTATTAACTGTATTAAGTGGCTACGGATTAACCAGGTACTTGTGGACATCCTTAATAATCTACATGCAGAAAATCCACTTTGTGGGTTATTTGCAATAAAAGGCAAACTTTCCAGAGTGTTACTACTAAGCTCTCTTCTGGCATTTTGCATACATGGGGGTAGCTCTCACTAGCATTTAAATATGACTTTATTTTAAAAACAATCCAGGCATAATGTAAGTGGAAAGGTAAGTCTGTTGATTCCATCTGGTACGTGTGTATTCAAACATACAGCAAATGAAGCCCCCGGAACCATGTGGAGTTCTGATACAGCTAAGCAGCTGTAGTCATCAGTCTACCCGATGTCCCCATTTTGCTTCATTTTTTACTCAAAGTTTTTTTCTGGTTGTCAAAGCAATAAGTTCATTATAGAAAAAAAAGTAGAAAAAGGAAATTTGGAACACAATTGTCATTACACAATCCAGAGATAAGTTGGGTGCGAAGGGTGTTTCTGATCTCTAGTGTCTAGTATGGAGTCACTCTAGAGTAAAAGGAATATAGACTTGATTTTCTTTTAATTTGAAATAGATTTAGTTAAAAATCAACAAAAGAAACAGGGCCTCCCTGGTGGCTCAAGGGGTTAAAGCTCAGCACATGAAGATACCTGCAGCCACCGCACCACATGTTCGATCCCCAGCCAGGGAGCTGACCTACATGGCGCGGTAGACCTCTCCTGTCTTGCCCGCTGCTCCCCACTCTGTCTCTGGTGAATCCTCTCACCCCCAGCACCTCTGGCCTGTACCCCAGTTCTTGTATACATAAATAAATATTTTAAAAATATTAATAATGTGTCTTTTATTAATAATAAAAAATTTTCAAAACTTCTTTAGACTTTAAACGACTGCCATGAATGTGTGCCTTTTGCCTTTCCTCTATCCGTGTTTGTAACGTTCTGTTTTTCTGTTCAACTATTATACTAATGATGGCATCTTGCAACTGAATCCTTGTTTATATTTTCATTTCCCTAGGATGAACTTCTAAAAATAGACTTGCCCAGTCAGGGGTTCTGGCACAAATGTTTCCCCGGTAGATTCCTGGATACTTCCACTGATACTACGTGATGCCAGTATGACCTCAAAAACAATTTTGAAAGTCTTCGTCAGTAGGGGAAAACTGGCATCTCTTCACAGCTTCGATCACAAGTGAGGATAGAAGTCTACTGCCTGTTGGCAGCTGGCACTTTTGACGTTGTGACCCCCTTTCCACATCTTGAACTTGACATTTTCTGGAGATGTTTGCTATCGATTTGTAAGATAGTCTCTCTCCATATGGATATTGATCTCCTGTGTTTTAAATATTTTCCTCTAGTCTGCCACTGAACTTTTTTTTTTTTTTTAACCTGAGATGGTTAAAAAGCCCAGGTATTTGAGATCAGTGTTTTCCTTTCATAATTTCTGTATTTACTGCTATTTTTAGAAAGCCTTCCCCATCCACCCCCTGATTATATAACTATTTAGCTATCCTAGCACTGCTCAACTGCTATTTTTAAATCTAAATCCTTTTAGCTGTGACCTAACTTGGTATGTTAGAAGTAGAAACTTAATTTTATTTATTTCACATGATAACCTATTCAAACATTGACCTTTGGCTGGCAGGTCAGTCAGCTAGGAAAGCTGGGGTCCCAGTTGGAGGCGCACGGGTGTGGCTCATGCATACATTTACCTGACAAGATTTTTGAATTAGTGATCCACATTAAAAAAATCAGAAAATTGGCCCTCCCTGGTGGCACAGCGGGTTAAAGCACAGCACTGAGAATCTAAAGCGGCTTCCGTGTGAGTTCGATTCCCGCCTGCCCCAGAGGTGACCACATGGCGTGGCAGGCCTCTCCTGACCCGCCCGCTGCTCCCCTCAGCAGTGTACTTCGTCGATCTGCCTGTTCTGTTCCCCACTCTGTCTCTGGTGAAGCCTCTCACTGCCCCTGAGCCTCTGGCCTGTACCCCAGTTCTGTATGTATAAATAAATAAATCTTTAAAAAAAAAAAAATCAGAAAATGTTGGCCCTCCCTGGTGGTGCAACCGGTTAAAGCACAGCACAAAGAAGCTTAAGCCACTTCCGCATGAGTTCGATCTCTGCCCCAGAGGTGACCACATGGCGTGGCAGACCTCTCCTGACCCGCCCGCTGCTCCCCTCAGCAGTGTACTTCATCTATCTGCTTGTTCTGCTCCCCGCTCTGTCTCTGGTGAATCCTCTCACCCTCCACATCTCTGGCCTGTACCCCAGTTCTGTATGAATAAATAAACCTTTTTAAAAAAATCAGAAGATTTTATAGGAAAACCTGGTTTTACAAATTTTCTTGAAAATCTGAAAGTCTATCAAGTCTGGGCCCATGTTTGCTCTTGACAGAAGCAGGCAGGAGCCGGAAGCAGTTGTCTGTGTCCTGCAGTCACAAGGCCCAGGTGCCCCGCATTTTGCTACCTGCGCTAGTAGCTTGTGTATCTGTTTTGCAATAGGACACATAAGAACTCTGAGTTAATATGAATCACCTACAGTTCATTTTCTGAGTCATATCATCAAATAAAATATGATCTTGCCTTCTCTTTTCCAGTGTATACACTTTCTTAGTATACGCAGTTAAGACTTCCTATCCATTTTTTAATAATAGCCATGATAGTAGATACCTTTATATTCTACCTGATTTTAATGGGAATGTCCCTTGTGTTTTAAGTAGGCAGTAAACATTTTTTCCTTCTGTCGAAGAGGTTTACTTTTACAGTCCACTGACTTCTTGATTTTTATTAATACCAGTGAAGCATGTTGAATTTGATCAAAATGACTTTCAGCCTCTGCTGATAGCATCCTGGGAAGCCTCTTTGAATTCAGAGCACTATAATAAAAGATTTTCTAATGTTGAGCCAAGTGCATATTTTTATTATAAATGCCAGCATTACCTAATAGTCCCGATAAGACCTAATAATATATCTCTTTGTCTAATTTCCTATCAAGAAAACAATTAGGGGTTTTACATCTATTTACATTATGTTATCCATCCACTGTAATCGCCTTTCTCCCCTCTTTTTGATCCTTTGTTAGGTTTTTAAAAATATATATACACTACATACAATATTTCTCTTCCTGCCCATTCTTGAAATCTCTTAAAAAATTGATTTTTATGATATGCATTATTTGTATATATTATTTTTCTTCTTGAGATGTCTCTATCTTCTACAACATTTGCATGAAACCTTATAGAGACTGAAAAGTGTAGAACATGTATTTGTAAATATACAAATAATAAGACAAACCTCAGGGACCCACATCAGTCTAAGAACTAAGACCTCAGCAAGGGTATCCCTTTCCAAGGGTATCCCTTTCCTTGCCCGAATGAAAGCAGCACCTGGAATTTTGAGTTAATATACCCTTGCTTTTTGCTTATAGCTTTACCTCTTAGACACAAAACCTTAAACAAAAGTTTGTTTCATTGGATGTTTAAAATTTTGACACACAGACTCAGTATCTTCATGAGTGTGATCATCTCTGCCCAACACTGAGGTGTGTGGGTGTTCCTGCCGTGTGCCCCCATTTTCACCCCCCTATGCATTATTCTTGCTGTTTTGCTATTGAAGACACTTTAGCCCACAAGGTTGCAAAGGAGAAGCCTGTTCTTCCTCAGTAGAGATAACCTGTCTGTTTTGTTCTCTCCCTGCACGGTGACAGGCCTTTTTTCTTTTCCTTCAACATCCCATCTCCGCCAGAATATATCCGGAGGAGGCCTGTGTCAGAGTGGCCTCTGGGTTTTGTCGCTGGTGCTTTTCCCACGTTCTCTTCCCTACAGATTCCTTGTCCAGCAAGAAGAGTGATCGATGTGCTGCTGAAGGCGGTGTGCCCCTGCTGACACCTTTCAGGAAAACAAGCTCATTCTTTCATGACTTTTGTGCCCTCAGAGGTCCGTAGTGGGGCTCTTTGGAAGAGAGGCATGAGCAGGCAACCTCGCGTCGAGTGGGAGGAAGGCTTCCTTTGCGATGCCGTGCTCTTCATGACCTGGGGCCTCCAGGGGCCCCTTCAGCCTCCCCCGTCACCAGCTCTGTCCAGTGCCCCCACACTGGTCCCTTTTTTTAAAGACAGAACTTGGGTAGAGGCTAGAGGGGTGGTGAGAGGATTCACCAGAGGTAGAATGGGGAGCAGAACAGGCAGATTGGTGAAGTACGCTGCTGAGGAGAGCAGTGGAAAGGTCTGGAGCGGTCCGCCATGCCATGTGGGTTACCTCCCCGGCCAGGGATCGATCTCGCGGTGAGGCGGCTGCCGGTAAGCTTCATGGTGCTGTGCTCTAACCCAATGCACTACCAGAGAAGGCTGCGAGTGCTTCTTCTTAGCAGAGATTTAGTCTCTTCCTCCAACTCCCGACTCCTGACAACACACAGGAAGCCTGGCTGTTTGGCCAGGGACACTTGGAAGGAAAGAGCCCAGGGAGGGAGGATGGCAACGACCGCAATGGTCCCGTTTCCTTTCCAGAAATTCTGTGACTGCAAAGGGGAGCCAACCCTCCAACGCTGGATCTGAGCTCTGTGCCTGCTTGTCGGGGTCACCTACACCTGACAGTCGGTGTGTGAAGGACGGGGATCTCCTAGGATCATAGATATTTATTACGGGGATCTCCTAGGGTCATAGATATTTATTTATTGTCTGAAGGGGCTAACAAATCAGAGGTGCCTTCTCCTCTGCAGGGAGATTAGCTCCCCGCCCTGGGTCCACCTAACACTTGCCTGTCAGTTGAGGCTTTCTGCTTTCTCCTAGAAAATTAATGGGAATAGCAAATTGTGACTTTGCTTGTTGTTCTTAAGCAAGTTGCACTGGCGTCCATCTGCCTTTCTAAGAAAAGGAGAATTGTGCCTCTTACAAGCTATATGATGATGAAGTCCCTGTGGCATCTTTCTCTGTCCCTCACTGGCCACAGGACGCACCATTAGGACAGACCATCAGGACAGACCGGTCTGCCCTGCTCTAGGGTGCCAGTGAGTTAGGGGTGGGAGGGTCCAGCTTGTCACTCCTGCTGTCGGCAATGAAAAAAATAATTAAAAGGTGAGCACACTTCCCTCTGAATCTTATCCTGCCTCACCCACTGAGTCTTGGCTGTGGCCTGAGTCTGTTCCTCACAGGGGTTGGAGGTGGGTCCAGCCAAGATCTGGAAACTACATATATTGCCATCATGTATTTTTTGGGATAGAGAAAGAAGGGGACCATGAAATAACTATGGTTCTTTTATGCCTGTTGGATTCTTGAAACACTCATTGCTTTGCAAACTTCACCACCACCCAAAGGTACTCACTTAGCGATGTTAGGTTTCAGAGCCCTAAGAGGCTCCCTAAGAGGGAGTTTTGGATTCAATAAGATAGATTGTACATGATGCTAAGAGGCCAAAGGAACTTGACTCTCTTAGAGTTTCTCTTTCCCTATGAAACACAATGCTAAGAACTATTCAGTCACTGCCCAGGCCCCTTCTGGTCCTTGCAGAAAGTACGATTCTTCAATAACTTCAGATCCCAGAGCTGCGAGTGCCCACCCTGAAATCTCTGTGTGGACAGCGGGCTATGGGGACTGGGCAGCTGAGCTCCTTGTTTCTATGAGTTTCTATGATTGGGGACAGCCAGGCACAGCTTCTTCAGTTACTTAAGGACTTATTGCCTCAGTTTCCTCTTCTGTACAATGGTATAAAAATAGTACTCCTTATGAATGGTGTGAGGATGATGTGAGTTTAATGCTTTTAGACCAGTGTCTGAGCCAGAGTAAATACTTAATCAATACCAATTATTTGTGATATTGTTATACTTTATTCGGATCATTGAGGAGTAAATGTCTCCTATTCATTAACAGAAATGTTTAAAATCAAACAACTTGATTTCTAAACAAAAACAACCCCTTAATGGGAAATTGGCAGCTCTCTTACAAATCTTCCTTGGTTGAGGATTTACAGCCTGCTTTCTGGGTTAGTGCCCTCAGAGCCCCAGTACTCTACTTAAGAACAACAGATGATGCTCACGAAGTCTCTTAATCCCACCAACTTCCCAGGAGAGGAAACACGGTTATGTGGTGATGACAGTGATTTCAGCTCATCTCCGGAGGTCCTTGAAACTCTCCCTTCATAGCAAAGATGCCTTCCAGTAAGACTGACTATAAAAAAATGTTCTCTCCCATTGACTTATATTATAAAATCAGAGCTATAATCACATAGAAAAAAATATCCCAACTGATTTTACGAGAATGCTTAGTTGGGAAGGAATACTGTTCTGTTCCACAACCAAAGCAAAGCTCTTTAAGGGAAGGGTCTGGATCTCTTATTTGGTGGCCATATAGTTATTGACAGGCAGGTATTTATAGGAGGAGCAGAATTTCTGAAAGCTTTTAAAAATAACTGTGGAGTTCTCTGAAAACCAAACATTATTTTAAAAATAAGTGTATGGACAGGTAAAAAGACATGCACCTAGATTTGAAAGGAAAGAAGTCACACTCTTGGAGAGCCCCTGTGACAGGGCCCTATAGAGCCCTTGGTGCTTGGGCAAGCACGGTGATGATGTTCCTGAGATGGGGCCCAGACCTCTGTGGTTCAGGAAGGCTCTTCACCTCGGACACCCGTGACGTCACCAAATTTATGCAGCTAATGACAGTAAGGCATGGATTTAGCTATACATGGGGGGAGCTTCCAAAACATCCCTCTGCTTTCTGACTAGCAGGAATTTCTCCTATTTTGATTTCCACTCAAGATAAGGAGAATTTAACCTCAATCAGATACTAATTTCATTTCCTGTGAAGGAGGTTGGTGCAATACCAAGTCTTACCAGTAGATGTCGCCACACACCACATTATTGTCACTCCTGCCTGAATTTTTTTCACCTGGTTTTCTTAGATTCTTGGTAACCCTGCCTCTACTGGGGTGGGGGTTGGGAACCTAAGAGAGCTATGAGAATTTAAGTTTGTGTTTTGATTATGATGAAAATTTTTAAAAGACTTATTTGACTGGATATAAAGATAAAGCTCTTAGTGGAATTTTTTTTAAGAAAAAGAAAGCAGATGTTTCTTAAAATCAACTCTCAGAATGAGGTAGTGGGGCCCAGGGAAACTTCTTTTCAATCAGTGAGGTCCTCGCCTCTTTAAAAATAGGAATTTAAAGTCTTGAAGAGCTTGAGATCTGAGTGACCTCCATCCTTCTAGCTGGAGTCTTCGGTCTGCTACACTCATTTCCTCAGTTGCAACACAAGGGCGCCTACTGCGGGTGAAATGTGAGGCTGTGTGAAAATACAGATTAGTTGTCATTACAGTGATTATTTCACTATCAAAGAAGTATTTCTATCACTAACATCATTTGAAAACTACTAGTTCAACTTTTCATTTTGAAAATGGGGTTGGGACTTAAGAGGGTAAGGGATTTGGTTATCTGATTAAATTTCATAAGTTCATAGCACAAAACAATTATTTATGTGAAACAAGACATGCTGGCTTTAATCTTTTACAGGTGTATCCCTCCCCACTTGGGGAAACTTGATATGCCACAGTTTGAATTTATAAAGCTGATGTAATACAAAACAATCTTTCACCTAATGCTTTAACATGACATGTAATTCCATTTACTATAAAATTTTATCTTTATTTGTTCTGTTTGCAAAAGTAATCCAGAATAAGTTTGTCAAACTTCAACTATGTGCTTAAGTAATAAATCTATTGATGCAGCTAAAGCTTAATTTAATAGATAAATTTAGATGGCTTCAGAACTCTTCAGTCACAGATTTAATGCTTTGATTTAATTGATTTTGCAAATATTTTGCCTGGGAACTTTAAAATCGCTGAATAGTTGTCTAGGCTATCAAGAGGAGGGTTTGATGAAATGTGAATTCATGGATCTGTGGCTTTATGATTGGTTGCTTTGATAATGATTAACTGAAAGAATAATCCAGAGGCTTGTGGGTCTATCCTCATTTGTAGCGGCAACCTA